TTGCCCAGTCTGGTCTCCAACTCCTGGGCTCAAGCAGTCTGCCCACCTCGTCCTCCCAAAGTGCTGGGATTACAAGCATGAGCCATGTACCTGGTAAAGACCGAGTAGCTAACAAACACATATTTGTGAGAAACTCAATCTTAACTGATCACTAACAATATGGAAAAAAAAAAAAAAAAAGGGAAGGGGACAGAATATGTTAAAACATCAAAAAAAAAAAAAAATCAAATGACAGTAAATAGATGATAAATCTTACCATTTTTAAGAACTTGGATTATTTCTTACTTTCCTAGAAATGGGAGACTGGGATGGGAACTAATTATAGATGTTTTGAACAAATATTTACCACCTACCATCTTATGCAATTCAGGTATACAGATTGAGCATTCTTAATCTAAAAATCTAAAATCCAACGTGCTCTGAAACCCAAAACCTTTAAGTGCAGACAGAATGCCACAAGTGGAAAATTCCACACCTGACTCCATGTGACTTGTCAAAACACAGTCAAAACTTTGTTTCATACACAAAAAAATTATTTAAAGTATTCCATAAAATTAACTTCAAGCTATGTATATAAGGTATATATGAAATATAAATCCATTTCATGTTTAGACTTGGGTACCAACCCCAAAATATCTCATTACAATTAGGCAAATATCCCAAAATCCAAATTCCAAGACACTTCTGGTCTCAAGCATTTTGGATAAGGGATTATCAACCTGTACCACATCCCATTAGTGAGAATACGGTTTAGAAGGGCAATTAAGAAATACAAATATTAGCCGGGCACAGTGGCTCACACTTGTAATCCCAGCACTTTGGGAGGCCGAGGTGGGTGGATCACGAGGTCAAGAGATCGAGACCATCCTGGTCAACATGGTGAAACCCCGTCTTTACTAAAATACAAAAATTAGCTGGGCATGGTGGTGCATGCCTGTTGTCCCAGCTGCTCAGGAGGCTGAGGCAGGAGAATTGCCTGAACCCAGGAGGCGGAGGGTGCGGTCAGCCAAGATTGCGCCACTGCACTCCAGCCTGGGTAACAAGAGCGAAACTCCGTCTCAAAAAAAAAAAAAAAAAATATATATATATATATATATAAGCATATATATATAAGCATATATATATAAGCATATATATATGCATATATATAAGCATATATATATGCATATATATATAAGCATATATATAAGCATATATATAAGCATATATATATAAGCATATATATATAAGCATATATATATATAAGCATATATATAAGCATATATATATAAGCATATATATATAAGCCTATATATATATAAGCATATATATATAAGCCTATATATATATAAGCCTATATATATAAGCATATATATATAAGCCTATATATATATAAGCATATATATATAAGCCTATATATATATAAGCATATATATATAAGCATATATATATAAGCATATATATATATAAGCATATATATATATAAGCATATATATATATATATATATATATAAGCAATTAGGGAAATAGAGCCAAGTACAAAGTGTAAGAGTAATGCAATACCCTTGTATTTCCTTTACTTTCAGGGATTTATGGCAAAACTTGCAGAGAATGTCACATTAAGACTAGGTACTACCTTAAAGTACACACTTTGGAAAGATTTTTAAACAGCTTTAGGCAAGACACAGTGCTTCACACCTGTAATCCTAGCACTTTGGGAGGCTGAGGCGGGTGGATCACCTGAGGTCAGGAGTTCGAGACCAGTCTGGCCAACATGGTGAAACCTTGTCTCCACTAAAAATACAAAAAAATAGCCAGGAGTGGTGGCAAGTGCTTGAACCTGGGAGATGGAGGTTACGGTGAGTGGAGATCATGCCACTGCACTCCAGCCTGGGCAACAAGAGTGAAACTCTGTCTCAAAAATAAAATAAATATGAAAACAAAAAAGCCTTTCTTTTCACGATAACAGTAATATATTCTAGGAAGCGGTGGCTGTCATTAAACCGATTAGGCCTTTGTTATCACACTGAGCCCTAAAAACAAAAAAACAGTTCTCACAAACCATTTGCTATACAGCCTTTATATAAGCTAAAAATTATGGGTTTGGGCAGCTGCTACAGCTGTGTGGTAACTGATAACTGTACTTATTATCTCCCTCCTTTTTTCCAATGGTTGTGTTTTTTAGAACCGAATAAGAGATGAAATGTAGAATGAAGCCTACACCCACCGAATACTCCTCATTCAGGTCTCAAATCAAATGTTACCACCCTATCTAAGGCTGCTCTTGGCACAACACCTTTTCTTTCCTTGATGACATTTAACATTATCCGAAATCATTTTATTAATGTGCTGGTTAATTGTCTGCCTCCATCAGACAGAATGTGGACCTGATGTGTCATGTGCACAGCTCTAGTCCTAAGCTCTTAGAACAGTGCCTGACACATAACAGGAGCTCAGGAAACATTCATAAAACGAAGACAGAAGGAATGTCATTCTCCACTCTGCTGCACAAACCTCTCTCCTCCTACCCCCGAGTTCGCACAGCACTCTTATTGCACTGAACTGGCTACGCTTGGGATGCAGCCCCGGGTTTCCTTCCCGTTCTATTTCCTGGCTTAGACGTCGGTGCCAGGTACGTTGTAGGCACTCGATGGCAGATCACTGAATGAATGACACGGCGAGCCAGACACACGCAGGTGATGCAATGGCACCGCTGCGATGCCGGTTCCGAGGCTACCACAGCCCAGCCGGACAGCCACCATCATCATCCCTCCTGTGTAAAGCCCGGCCGCCCGGGGCCAAAACCTTCAGGAAGGCATGAATGTCGCCACAATGCCCTTTCGGAAGGAGACCCAGCCTCCGAGAAGAGGAGTAGGGCCCAATGTACAGGGCCGGCACTCACTGTAGGTGCGGCCCAGGGCTTGGAAGAGCAGATCACGCTTCACGCTGACAGTCGGCATGGCGAGTCAAACTCACTGCGCCTGCGCGGCGAGCTGGCCCGGGCTCCCCAGGGAAGGGTGTAGGACCCGGCTCTTCTTATGAGAGCTGTCTTGAATATCGCCATTCTGCCGCCAACAGTTTCTGCTCTCGTTTTAATCTAAAAACACTCATCTGGCCATTATCTATCTGAGTAAATTTATTTCTGTGGGACTAATAGCTTAAAAGCTTGTAGGAGAGATATAATTGGATAGAACTGGCAAGGATTTGTCAGGCATTATAATGGACTGACCCCGAAGTCCCAGATGCTTCCTGCGCGCTGAGGGCAAGAGAAGCCTAATCAGGTGGGCGGGGCGAGAGAGGGGCGTGTCTCGGAGAAGACTGGGCGAACACCTGGGAAATCCTGCCTAGAGGCGGTGGAAATGCGATTGGAGGAATTTAAGGTTCCTGCGGAAAAGGTTTGCAGATCCTGGCGGCGGGAGAGGGGGTGTTAACAGACCTCAGCTTTTACTTCATTCTTTAATCTCTCCTATTCTCTTGCAAGTGATATACCTGTGCTTTGAACCTTGCGGCAGCTCTATGAGAGGCGTTGTTAGAGACCTCTTTTTAGTCTATTTGCCCAATACTCTCTGCTGTCAGTGGCCTGTGCTCAGCCCTCTGCCAGCATTAGATTTCCTCCTTAAAACAACCCTGAGTGTAATCGGCTAAATAACTGCCTCCAGTAATATCAGACCCTAATCCCTACAACCTCTAAATGTAACCTTATATGGAAACAGGGTCTTTGCAGATTAAGTTAAGGATTTTGAGATGAAAGTTATCCTGGAATCTTAAGACAGACACTAAATGGAATCACAGTATCCTCATGAAATCATAAAAGGGAGGTAGAGAGAGAAGATGTAGCCATGGTAGCAGAGACTGAAGTATGGCAGCCACAACCCAAGGATGCCAGCAGCCACCCGAAACAAAGAGACAAGCAAGCACACACTGGGGCCTGGGGTTGGGAGGGAGGAGGCGGAGCAGGGAGCATCAAGAAGAGCTAATAGATGCTGGACTTAATACTTAGGTGATGGGATGATCTGTGCAGCAAACCACCATGGCATACATTTACCTGTGTAACAAACCTTCACATCCTGCACATGTACCCCTGAAATAAAGATTCACCCCTAGCCTATGGGACAGCCCTATAATGCGCACTGTTTTGAACCCAGTGAAACTGATTTTGGGTTTCTGGCCTCCAGAACTGTAAGAGTATAAATTTTTGGTTTAAGTCAGCAAGTTTGCGGTAACTTGTTTCATCAGCCAAGGAAAACTAATACATTAAGGTAGGTACCATTATCCCTGTTTCACAAATAATGAAAATAAGGTACAAACTGGCAGTTCAAGGGGGATCTTTGCCCTTATCCTTTCTACTGTACGGTGAGTGAGGGCTTCTTCCAAGGTCCTTTACATGAAGAAACAAAAGCTGAACCAGATTTAGGTCACCCTATTTTTTTTTTTTTTTTTTTCTGTCTGGTCCAGGTTCCAAACGTGTTTTTTATTCACTATTTCTGATGACTATAAATAAGTGTTTCCACTATGGAAAAGAAAGTTAGCACAGTACATTTTCATGACTGGGGAATGGATTTTCTGAAGTCATCTTCAATAGGGCAAAAACTTAGAAAAAAAAAAAACAACCTGAATGTTGAATTCAGTTCTTTATATAACGTCCCTTGTAAAAACGAAACAGAATAAAAACAAACCGAAAAAGAGGGGCAGGGTAAAATTTTTCTTTTTTCTTTCTTTCTTTTTTTTTTTTTGAGACGGAGTTTCGCTCTTGTTACCCAGGCTGGAGAGCAATGGCGCGATCTCGGCTCACCGCAACCTCCGCCTCCTGGGTTCAGGCAATTCTCCTGCCTCAGCCTCCTGAGTAGCTGGGATTACAGGCACGCGCCACCATGCCCAGCTAATTTTTTGTATTTTTAGTAGAGACGGGGTTTCACCTTGTTGACCAGGATGGTCTCGATCTCTCGACCTCGTGATCCACCCGCCTCGGCCTCCCAAAGTGCTGGGATTACAGGCTTGAGCCACCACGCCCGGCCAAAATTTTTTTAAAAAAGGAAAGGAAAGAGGAAAAGGAAATAAAATAAGACGATTTATTGCTTCTCCTCCGCATCCTCCTTGGTCTCCTTCACCGAGAGAGTTTCTAGCTTTTCCGCCACTTTTTCAGCATGATCGTTTTTGCCTGATCCTTCCTTTTCTCTGTCTTCGATCTCTTTCCTGCATTCTTCAAACTTTGTTTTGAATTTCTGTGCATTCTCAGCATTCAGGAAGCGGATGGCCAGCAACTCTGGCTTGGGACACTCATCGGCGAAGTCAGCATGGGTGTTCCAGACCCAGGCACGGTCGCTACCCGCATTGGGCTTCAGCTCCATCATCGGCGTGATATAGTGGTTGGCACAGATCTTCAGGGTCTTGTCCCGCCGCATGAGGAGGCGGATGGTCCCCTTCTCCTTGTGCTTCAGGAGCTTGACATCGCCGGTGCCTCGCTCCTTCCGTTCTGGGAGGTCGTTCTCCGAGGCAAACCGGAACAGTTTCGCCCGCATTTTAAAAAGTTCCTCTTCATCTTCTTCCAGCGTTTTAATTTCTTGCTCAGGAAGAGAAACTATTGGCTCAAACTGAGGATCATGGTTGGACTCGTCTGCATTCTCAGTGGAAGAATCATGGTCCTCATGAGTGTCCTTGGCGGCCGCCATGGGGAGGCGGCGGCGGCTCAGCTGGGTCGGTCGTCGCTGGCTCCGCGGCCTCTCTCGTAGCTCTTTCCCTCCGCGTCTGGCGCCGGCGCCTCCTGCCTGCCCGCTCTTCCCTCGGCCCCGCGACCCGAACCTCGACCCCTGACCTCCGCGGCGGGCCACCCTAACTATTAATCAAGCAGTTTTTCCTATGCAGTATTAGCTCCTCTCCATGGCTACAGGCAGTTCTTTCTAGTGACCAACATAACAGATTGGCAACACCCCATAAATAGCAAACATCCCTGATGCAAAATACAATTTTCCACCTAAAATTGGTGCTTCGTGCCAAATTAATAAAGGACTAGTGTGCCAGGTGCAATGGCTCACATCTGTAATCCCAACACTTTGGGCAGATCAGAGGCCAAAGTGGGCAGATCACTTGAGGTCAGGAGTTCGAGACCAGCCTGGTCAACATGGTGAAACCCCATCTCTACTAAAAATGCAAAAGTTAGCTGGGCAAGGTGGCAGGCACCTGTAATCCCAGTTACTGGGTGGGCTGAGGACTGAGAATCACCTGAACCTGGGAGGCAGAGGTTGCGGTGAGCCAAGATCATGCCACTGCACTCTGGCCTGGGTGAAAGCAAGATTCTGTCTCAAAAATAGTAACAACAACAAAATAATAATAATAAATAACCAAAGGACTTGCTGCTGAACTGCTCTGCTTTGGGCACTCCAAAGTGTTCTATGGCTTCTGAATCTCAGTTTCCTCATCTATAAAATAGTTATAATAATATACACCTTAGAGAATTACTGTGTCATGCACCTATAATTCTAACACTTTGGGAGGCCAAGGTGAGAAGATTACTTGAGCCCAGGATTTCAAGACCAGCCTGGGCAACAGAGTTAGACATTGTCTCTAAAAAAAAAAAAAAAAAAAAAATGAAAACTTATCCTGGCATGGTGGCACACACCTGTGATCCCATCTACTCTGATCACTTGAGCCTGAGAGGTCAAGGCTGCAGTGAGCCATGATCGCACCACAGCGCTCCAGCCTGGGTGACAAAGTGAGACCTTGTCTCAAAAACTAAAAAAGAATTATTTTAAGAATTTGAGGCCGGGCACGGTGGCTCAAGCCTGTAATCCCAGCACTTTGGGAGGCCGAGGTGGGTGGATCACGAGGTCAAGAGATCGAGACCATCCTGGTCAACATAGTGAAACCCCGTCTCTACTAAAAATACAAAAAATTAGCTGGGCATGGTGGTGCGTGCCTGTAGTCCCAGCTACTCAGGAAGCCGAGACAGGAGAATTGCCTGAGCCCAGGAGGCGGAGGTTGCAGTGAGCCGAGATTGCGCCATTGCACTCCAGCCTGGGTAACAAGAGCGAAACTCCGTCTCAAAAAAAAAAAAAAAAAAAAAAAAGAATTTGAAATAGAAATTCCATTTGACCCAGCAATCCCATTACTGGCTATATATCCAAAGGATTATAAATCGTTCTACTATAAGGACACATGCACACGAATGTGCACTGCAGCATTGTCTACAATAGCAAAGACCTGGAACCAACCCAAATGCCCATCAATGATAGACTGGACAGGGAAAATGTGGCACATATACACCATGGAATATTATGCAGCCATCAAAAACGATGAGTTTGTGTCCTTTGTAGGAACATGGATGAACCTGGAAACCATCATTCTCAGCAAACTGACACAAGAGCAGAAAATCAAACACCGCATGTTCTCACTCATAGGCGGGTATTGAACAATGAGAACACATGGACACACAGAGGGGAGCACTACACACTGGAGTCTGTTGGGGGAAATGGGGGAGGGACAGGGGAGTGGGGAGTTGGGGAGAGATAGCATGGGGTGAAACGCCAGATATAGGTGAAGGGGAGGAAGGCAGCAAATCACACTGCCATGTGTGTACCTATGCAACAATCTTGCATGTTCTTCACGTGTACCCCAAAACCTAAAATGTAGTAAAAAAAGAATTTGAAATAATACTCATAAATAACTAGTGTAGTTCTTATCATGTCAGAGGTCCTGGAACTAGGACAACTGTCATTGTTTTTTACCCTCCTAGTTTTCTGCTAGTCTCAGGCCACCAAGGGGCATTCTCTTCTCATCTCTCACATTCCCCAACTGACCCATTCTGCTTTTTATCATTGCATACATTACAGGTACTGTGCCCCTTCTCTTTGAGAAGCTAAACTGTTAGAAGATTCTAATGGAAAAGAGGAAACTAGGCCACTAGGGCTCATCAGAAGTGGCGTTAGCTAACTGAAAGGAAAGGTACATGGAAAATGATGAGCTTGTATATCACAAAATGTAGGTACAAATGTAGGTACAAGCTTCTTTCATCTAATTTTGGAGCCAGACTGAAAGCAGGGGTGAGGTGGCAGAATTTCCTAGGAATGAAAGACGAACTGGACAAAAGACATGAAAAACTCAGTTCAGTAGAAATTAAGGAGATTCAAATTAAAATTGTAAGGACATACATGTTTATACCTATGAGACTGGTAGAAATCTTAAAGTCTGAAAACAATCAGATCTTGGCAAGAATCTGGGAGTATAAATTGGTATGAACTTTTTGGAAAATATGGCCTTACCTAGAAAAATGGGGCATGTCTACATCCCACTACCCAGCAATTGTACTTCTAGGAATATTCCCCAGAGAAACTCTTACCCATGTGCACCAGAAGACCTAAATAAGAATTTTCATGATTACATTGTTCATTATAACAAAAAGCTAGAAACAACCCAATGTTTGTCAATAGTAGAATAGGTAGACAGTTATGATACATTTATACAATGAAATACCAGCTGTGTAAACAAATGAACTACACCTGCATGTATCAACTTGGATCAATCTTACATTGTAAATTTGAGGGAAAAAAGGTAAATCACAGAAGAATAAATATCATGTGATGCCGTTAATATAAACACACATAAAATATGAGACTAGTTAGTTCTGAGTGGGATGGAAGGGCTGCAGCCTGGGGTGTTGGAATACCTGTATTAGTGAGAGCTCTCCAGAGAAATAAATAGGAAATAGGTAGCCAGATATTTATTATGAAATATTGTCTAACACCATTATGGAGACTGAGAAGTCCCACAGTCTACCGTCTGTACGTTGGAGATCCATGAAAATCAGTGACGTAGTTTGATGCCCTGAGAGCCGAAGAGGTGGTGATGTAGATGCTGTCTCAACGTCTGAAAATCAGGAGAACTAAGAGCAGGGAAAGATCTATGTCCCAGCTCAAGTAGTCAGACAGAGAGTGAATTCAGCCTTCCTCCCCCTTTTTATTCTCTTCAGGTTCTCCATGGATTGGATCATACCTACCCACGTTGGGGAGAGCCATTTGCTTTACTCAGTCTATCAATTCAAATGCTAATCTTGGCCAGGGCAGTGGCTCCCGCCTGTAATCCCAGCACTTTGAGAGGCCAAGGCGAGCAGATCACTTGAGGTCAGAAGTTTGAAACCAATCTTGCTAACATAGCAAAACCCCACCTTTACTAAAAATACAAAAATTACCTGGGTGCGGTGGCAGATGCCTTTAGTCCCCTACTTGGGAGGCTGAGGTAGGGGAATCACTTGAACCCAGGAGGTGGCGGTTGCAGCGAGCTGAGGTTGTGCCACTGCACTCCAGCCTGGGCAACAGAGCAAGACTCCATCTCAAAATATAAAAATAAAAACAAATGCTAATCTCTTCTAGAAACACCCTCACACACCCAGAAATAATGTTTAACCAGCTACCTGGGTACCCTTTAGCCCAGTCAAGTTGGTACATAAAATTAACCATCACAATACCCAAGGGGTTTCAAAAATATCGGTAATGCCCTATTTTATCCGGTATACCTTTGTGGATGTATTTTTAATAAATTAAAGACAGGTGGGAAACAACAGATGAGTGTGACAGTCTGTTTCAGGAGTGGGGAAACATGAATGTTGGGTGGCCTATAGCTGAGCAGAAACGCAAGGAATACTTGCATTTGATTTCGCTTACAGGTTTTTTTGTTGTTGTTTATTTGGTTTTGTTTTTTTTTTTTTTTCCTTTGAGATGGAGTTTTGCTCTTTGCCCAGGTTGGAGTGCAATGGTGCCATCTCGGCTCACGGCAACCTCCGCCTCCTGGGTTCAAGAGATTCTCCTGCCTCAGCCTCTCAAGTAGCTGGGATTACAGGTGCGCACCACCACACCCAACTAATTTTTGTATTTTTAGCAGAGATGGGGTTTTAGCATGTTAGCCAGGCTGGTCTCAAACTCCTGACCTCAGGTGATTCAGCTGCTTCGGCCTCCCAAAGTGCTAGGATTACAGGTGTGAGCCACTGCGCCCGCCCTGCGGATAAAGGGCTTTTAAAAAAGCATTAGCATTTCCCCTTTGCGGCCATCACCGAAGCGGGAGCGGCCAAAATAAAGTTCAATCCCTTTGTGACTTCCGACCGAGCCACGAATCGCAAAAACCATTTCAGTGCACTTCCCACATTCGCCGGAAGATTATGTCTTCCCGTTTTTCCGCAGAGCTGAGACAGAAGCATGACTTGGGATCCCAGCCCATCCGAAAGGATGATGAAGTTCGGGTTGCACCAGGATGCTATAAAGGTCAGCAAATTGACAAAGGAGTCCAGGTTTACAGGAAGAAATATGTTGTCTACACTGAATAGGTGCAGGGCGAAAAGGCTGCTGGCACAACTGTCGACATAGGCATTCACCCAGCAAGGCGGTTATCACTAGGCTAAAACTGGACAAAGACCGCAAACAAAAAGATGTTTGATCTTTGAACAGAAAGCCAAATCTCGCCAAGTAGGAAAGGGAAAGGGCAAATACAAGGAAGAAACAATTGAGAAGATGCAGGAATAAAGTAATCTTATATGCAAGCTTTGATTAAAACTTGAAAACAAAACCAAAAAAAACCTTTATTATTCTTTTCCTTTATAGATGATGGGGTTTAGGTTATGTTTTAAACGATCTTCCTTAATCTCAAGGTGATTATTATTATTATTATCATTATTATTTTTGAGACGGAGTTTCACTCTTGTTGCCCAGGCTGTAGTGAAATGGCACCATCTCGGCTCACTGCCACCTCCGCCTCCCAGGTTCAAGCAATTCTCCTGCCTCAGCCTCCCCAGTAGCTGGGACCACAAGCACCCA